ATAGTATTGCATCAGTTTGGCTGTGGGAAACAAGAACAGCATGCAGTACTCTTGTGTCATTATTTTCTGTACTTTGGAGAAAAAAGCATGGGTGCTTTTGGGAATGTCTGTTTTAGAAGCAACTCAATAAATGCACATTTTTACTTCTGTGTCTAAGAAAAGCATACAGCATATGAATTGCTTAGAAGAATCAAACATAATTCTAACTACCACAAAAATTTATTGTAAATAACTGCTTTACTGTATCAAGTCTAGGAAAATCCTCTGCTTTCTGCATTTAGTCAGATTGTCTAAGTGGAAGGTGCAAGAAATCCTGTCATGGACACTTATTGACTAATTTCCATTAAGAGATATTTCTTCCTTACCTCCATTAGTTTTTGGCTTAAATCCTGAATGATTTCATTAGCTACATAAATGCTTAATCTCTTGAAAATCCTGCTAAGCTCTTGCCCTCGTTGAAAGCTGTGATAATTTGTTCTGTTCATTTTGTAAGTACATTGCCATTCAGTTCTGATAAATGTTCCTTGTTTTTCTTTTTTGAAATAATGGAGAGATGTCTAAGCACACCACTTTTACTCTGTGTTCTGGTATTTTGTAACCCTCTGCTGTTTGCTCTTACTAGATTCTTCTATAGGCAATACCAGTTTTTTTTTCAGTTTGTTGGTGCAGTCACTGCAATTGTATGTGAGGTAAAATAAAATACTTATGGAAGTTGATGCCTTTAATCCTGTTTGTTCAACATACAGTAGTATTTATGAGACAGCTGTAATTTGTGCTGTAATTATTCTTTTGACATATGAAAGACTTTGATCTATTCAGAGTTGTCCTGCACCTTCTTCAAAGGAAAGAGAACGATTTGTAAAAAAGCTGCTGGGAAGCGCAGCTTCAGCCCTATGTTTATAGTCTCACTGCGAGTGTGTAAGAAAGCTAAATAGTGGTTTTACTTTCCCTTCCGCTGGAAGTGTGTGTGATTTCGGATACCTATTTTGTGTCACTATAGGGGGAAAAAAATGGCATTTGTACTAGCTCTGGAAAATTTTTGGAATCTCTTAATGGGGCTGTATTGCAAGGGGGTATGTTACAACCACTTCGATACATTTTTATCCCCTCCAGAATGTTGACTGCTCCGACAATGAGGAGAATATAAGAATGTGGAGATAAATCAGGGAAATAGAATGGTTTCCTGTTAAATACAAGCCAATTTATGTACTAACATAAGTATAAACAAGGATATATAAACAGGGAATGGCTTATGGAAACCAACTAGGCAGCACTGTCAAAAAGAAAGTGGTGATGGAAGTGCTTCCAAGCTACTTTTGTCACAAGCTAGTTGATTGAGGAAGTGGAAGAAATTCTTGATGTATCTTGGCCTTTGTGGTCTCCTAGGTGTAGTGCTGCATGCTTGCTACCTTTTTACCAAGTAGCTTTCTAAGTCTTCAGAGAGTTTCCAGGAGATCCACAAAACAGACTTACAATCATATCCACATTAAGGGAGCATCCCTTTAGCACACATAATGTGAACCCAGGTACAGAATCATGCCAGGGACTTTTATACTAGTAGAGAACTTGTTTCCCAGTAGGATCTTATCCTACTTTCACATCTGTCATTCAGATGTCATCTTTTGGATGCATGGCTGCACACCCATTCCTTCATCTGTCAATTAAAATAGTCTTCTTTGTATTCTTAATCTCTGCTAGGATGGTATGGAATATCTAAATCCTTAGAGATTGTCCTTATTGTGCCCCAGTGAACAAGCACCAAGAGAAGATATGAGCACTGAAATAAAATGCAAGGCCAGAGGCATAGAACCACGCTCCAAAATACAGGCACTTTCCCTGGAAACTCAGTCTCTGTGGCATTTTTAAAGAATTTCTCGATATCTGGACACCTGCAGCAATACCATCTGGAGTGTCATTTACCCTCCTGCAAAATCTATGCATCTAAACATACTGCAACACTTGGCAAAATATTAGTGTTGTCACTTTTAAAAACAAACAAAACAACTAGAAAACTCTTCTCTAGGTAACATAGTTGATAAGTTGAAATGCAAATGTGCATATGACCTCTATAGAAAAGGCTAACGCATAACACCATTTGGCAAAATATTTCACAACATCCTGCTGACAAAAGGCAGATTCAAATTCTGCCCTTCTCTCCTGCTGTGGAGATCAAACTGAAAGGAGGGTAAATTTTTAAAAGTACCCAGTCTGACAATCTTGAGTGTTGGAACTGCCCCAGTCTAACTGTGCAAATGTGCGGAGCACATACAATAATTTTCAGTTCTATTCAATCGTCTGTTTTAATTTTCTGAAAATTTCTAAGAAATGCTTTACATATCTATCTTTGTTTTCTTAAATAAGATATAGATAGTTAAGATACTTGAAGGTGTTTAAGAAGAAAATAATGCTGGACAAGAGCTTGGTTACTAGATAAAGTGATTGAGTCCATAAAGGGTAATTGTAAAATGCTTCATTTAAAGTACAAGCATTGCACATAGAGTAGAGCATCTTTTATAGATTAACTAGAGAGTAGTTATTGATAAGGATATGCAACAATTTATTTTTCTTAAATAACCTTCCCAAATTGCAATTACAGCTGTAATATTCCCCTCCACCCCCCCCCCATTACCAGATACTATATCCAGATGCTATACATGCCTTTGCAGTTAGTAACCGAAGCTGTATTATCAAACTGGCACTGGAATTTTTCAGAAATTCCCAGCAAAGAATTTTCTCTTCATGTGTATTTTCATCCATATCTAAAGAATGCTTTGTTTGTGTGGGTCTACTTAGTTTCTCTGGTCAATCATGAATAAGTATCATTTAGTTAAATTATAATATTTTAAAACAAAGTTACTTTTGCTTACCTCTCATGGAATAAGATAATAGATTTCAGTTGGAAGGGACCTGTAACAGTGATCCAGATAAGGAATGAAGCCATAACACATATTTGAGGACCACAAGAAATATGCCAGCGTGTTAAGTTGTTAATCTTTTCTGTAGGAAGATTCTAAGTATACATTACCTGCAGAATAAGCTATAAATTGGCATTCTAATGGCTGTAAATCTCCTAGTAATTCATGACTGATTAGCATGATAAAATTCCTACAGAATATATAGAGTGGTCTTTTAAATTATTCCTAGAATATGAAAAATGTATGCTTTTTTTTTTAAAGAGAGCTTGAATGAGTTGTTCTATCTTGCTGTTTCAGGAGAGTAAATTCAAATGTTCAAAGAAAAGCAAGTACTATTTCCAAGCAGCTTTAAAATGCATATACCAGCTAATAGGTGTGATAACAATTTAACTGACTTGTGCTGATGAATATGGACATAATATAGTGAATCTTATGTTTGCAGTTTTAATACCTGTAAGTCTTCCTTAAGTCTCCCATCTTTCCTTGGTAGGACCAGCTGCAGAAGCCCACATCCTTGATTGCACTGAGAATTCTTAAAATCTGGAGCTACTTTCTCTATAGTTGCTGTTTAATTATTTAGTTATAAGTTGGTTTTTGTTTTAATGCTTAGTAGCAAATGCTTTCCTTTGTCAGAACAAAAAAATCAGAACATTTGAGGTTGAGACTTCTACTGCAATATTGAGTGAAAAGTAGCTGGCAGTCCTTGTAGTTGTTAGAGATTCATAAAGGTCATGGGTAGTTCCTATTCTGTAATTACAGTAAAAAATATAAAAATCTGAGATTTCAAGGATGCAGTCTAGACAAGCTTGACTTCTGCTGCCCACTGGGTGAGCACAAAACTTTCCAGATTAAAGTATCTATGTAACATGCACACCACCATTACACTTGAGCATGGCCCTTGTTCCTTAGTGGGACAGAATAAAGCTTGCTCTCCCTCTGTCTCTAGGCCCTCTAGAAGGGTTTTCACAATCAGTTCATTCCTAAATGGATGCGTGCAAGCAACAGAGACCTCAGAATTTCATTTTCTAACTAGAGGAATTAAATTGTATGAAGTCTAATTAATTTTTGGAGCTCTAGCCATAATCACATAGCATTGTTACAAACGTGAAACGTGCACATCCTTAGGAAAAACTAGAATTAGTTTAGTTTGAGGAAGAGGAGAATGAGGGGTGACCATCACTCTCTACAACTACTTGAAGGAACATTGTAGAGAGGTCGGTGCTGGTCTCTTCTCACAGGTAATTAGCAATAGAACAAGAGAGAATGGCTTCAAGCTGCAACAAAGTAGGTTTAGACTGGACATTAGAAAAAAATTCGTCACAGAACAAGTGGTCAGACACTGGAACAGGCTGCCCAGGGAGGTGGTTGAGTCACCATCCTTGGATGAGTTTAGGAGTCGTTTAGATGTGGTGTTGGGGAATATGGTGTAGGGGAGAACTTTGTAGAGTAGGGTAGATGGTTGGACTCGATCCCAAGGGTCTTTTCCAACCTAGATGATTCTACAATTCTAAGAAGCAGTTATCAGAAATTGTAAGCATCCAAAAGCATTCTGCTAGGATGCATCACATTATTTTACGCTGCCATCAGCATGATTGAGCCTTCACAACCATTGTAAATAACCTAAGCACATGTAGCTCTTCACATAAGGCTATTCCCACATCTTCTAGATGATTTCTAGTATTATGAGATTGCCAGTATCATTTTTAAAAAAAAAAAAACAAAAAACAGCCCCCTGCTCTTGAACTACTACAGTTCTTTTGTTCTTGATTTCTTTGATACAGCTGTGTACCAGACTGTGTGTTGAAGTGCACAATGTTTAGTAGAGTCTGTGGGTGCTACTAGTTTCAAAGCCCTTTCCTCCATGATTTCCTTCCTTTTTTATTTATTTATTGTGAAGTCAGAGTGTTACTGAAGCTTATTACAGTGTCACAGAAAGGGTGGGAGAAAGAAGAGACTCTTCCTTACATCTTCAGCCCATACACAGGGATGATGCAAAACAGACTAAGGTCAGTTTACATATTTTAAAAAAATCCTACCCCCACAAAAGCATAACACACACTAGAGCATTCTTACTGAAAACTAGTTTTATTTTTAAAAATAAGTTGAATGCATAGCACTCACAAAGATTCCATTGCTTTGGACATTTTGCATTTAGGAGCACCATTCTTATTTATGCCATAAAAACACATTTTGGTTCTAATAGTAAGAACAGTGTATTTTTAATGTACACTGGTAAAGCCCTTTTAAATAATATATTGAAACTGTTCAGTGTACATTTTCTCTGTAGTTATTATGCAGCTGTAGTGTCAGAAAAAACTCAGACTAAGTAATAAATTAAAAACAAACACCATGTAGTGAATCTTTTTACAGTTGACCTAATGTCTTAAAAAATAGTCAAATAAGAAACACCCTATGATATGTAATTTTGCAGTATTAACTAACTGAATAAGCCCCCCACCCATTTTAATTCCAGTGTTAAGTATTAGGTAAATTTTTATATATCAAATGCTTATGGGATAAATTTACTAATACCCCCAAAAAGAAGAGCGTATACTGCTGCATCACAAATAAAGATGACAAGTTAGCCAATTTAAAGATTTTACAGAAAAACATTGCTACAGGCATCTGCTGTTATTTCAAGTCATGGTCTATTACAAGACTGTACATTCATCGCATCAGAGGTAGTTAGAGCACTGAGGACTTGGATATAGCATTGCAACAAAATGAAACCTGCAGAAAGAAGTCCATTTCCCTCTTCAGTGGGTAACAATGCTGAACAAAAAGCATGGTATCTTATGAGGTGGAACTTAAACTGCTCTCACTTAACACTACTCTCAGACATGGGGAAATACTCATTAAGAGATGAAGAGAGGAGAGAGAAAAAAATAAATCAAAAGCAAACCATCTTGCACTTTACTCAAGAATTGACCACACTATGCCTATTTCCAAGTTGATTCTCTAGCATCTTTCATTCACCTTCCTATCCTTCTTGACTTGCACGTATGTGCTACAAAAGCTCACAACAAAACATGGGATTTATGCGGGAAAAAAAAACCAACCAAAAAAAACCACCAAAACAAGAGAATCAGGATTTCTTCTCCTCAACAATAAATAGGTTTTTGTAGCATGTTATCATTCAGCCCCAGAATGAACACACAGCTGTCCTCTCTCCATTCTAAACATTATAGTAAGACCCCCTCTCCTGGGATAAAGGCATCATCTTGATAGTGTAACTTAATTGCCCCTGCTTTCAAAACAGTCTCTGCAAGATTCACAATATTTTGGTGTCAGATGGATTTAAGTGCTGCCACTGAGACAGGGAAGGAGGAGGTGGTAAGAGAACAAATAAAAGAAAAAAGCCTTAAGCCCACATACTATAAAGATATTTTAAAGTAGTAAGAATCCTGACATCCATACCTCTTCCTCCCATATTCTACCATTTCTCTACAGGAGAAAGTCAGGTATCTTCTTGTATTAGAAAAAAATAAATAATAAAAATCCTCCATTAATATCTTTACCACCGCTTTCATCCAAGAGTTGGATGAGTGAGCCTCAGAATTCTCACCCCACAGAAGACAGTGTAATTCCATGAAGCTATGTAATTAGCACCTTAATTGTGATAAAGCAGTTCACTCTGCAATATATTTTCGATCCACCCATTTAGAAGAGTAAATCTCTGCATTTTCTTCTAGAACTCAAAAACAGTAGAAGAAAAAGTTGCCTCACTATTACCTGAGAAACTCCCTCCAGCATAACCCTGACAGAACTGGGCTGCTGGAAGCATTTAACTGTACTTTTTTTGTATGAGTGATACTGTCAGTACAATTGGAGGATTCTTTCTGTTGGTTAATAATACACATGTGTTTGTGTGTGTGTACACAGAGGAATTATATCCACTGTAATAGTTCTGGTACAGTACAAGTTCAGCTGAAACCTTCTCTTTTCTTCAATTACTCAATACCACACTGCTGGGCAGTAGTTCACATCTGCATTCTGTGAATACTAACACGTCCCTTTGGTACTCTGCATATAGATGCCCTGAAAAAAAACGCACTCCACTTACTATAGCCTCTTCCTTCTCCACCTTCCTCCCTCAAGTAATACCCAATGTACAAATCAGCAGCACAGAGTAATGAACAGAAAATTCCCTGAGTTAGTATGAAAGAGTTACTCTAAATGCAAAAAGGATAGGGAGGAGAAAAGAAGCAAAACCATAGTGTCTATTCTGTGAGGTATAAAACTTAAGAACTAGCCAAAATACTTAGCCTAAAGCAAATATCCAACACAAGTGCTGAAAAGGGGGCAAGTACAGAGTTAGCCAGATGAGATTTTTTTTCTTCTTGTGGTCCCCATGTATCTGGAGATTCTTAAAGTTTCAGTAAATTTAAGGTAAGTATTAATACTGTATGCTGGTATTACATAAATGTCTTCAAAATAATACTGCATGTCTCCTTCATTAAAAGATAAGTCTGTAATTAATCCACAGCTATTTTTCCTTTGACTAGTATTTCAAAGATGTGTGTTAGAAGCACAGAGTATTCCAAGTGCCAGAGCAAGAACTCACTACCCCCAAGTAAACACAATTTTTTTAGAGGGTGTTCTGTGTGCTTGAGTCTGTATTTAAGCTATGGTACTGGTTGCCAATCCAGTCTTTTTCTGGAAAGACACTTTTTTATTCAATTAGTTGCCCTCAAACTTATTTAAGGTTTAACAAAAAAACCCCACAAAACAATTCCCCTCAACACAACTACCCACCCCAAAACAAACAAGCACAAAGCCATTTTGTACTTATCACCTCTCAAAGCAGGGAGTAACACAGGAATATCGTCCATTGACTTGATAACTCCGGTTGTAGGAGACACTTACACATGGCTTTACTTCTAGCGGAACAGCTAGTGACACTGCAGCACCAGTCTGTACATGGCCTCGAGCCTGAACGCTAGACTGTAAGGCAGCGGGGCAAGTCTGAAGTGGGTAAGATGCTGTATGATTAGATGATAATATCTGTTGACAGTTTTGCTGCTGTGATGTCTGATGGTGATACTGTAACGAAGACTGATGAGCTTGGAGATACTGTGGTATGTGCTGTTGAGCATTCGCATGCTGGGGAGCTGGGGTCTGAAATACAGTATGTTGGGCAGACTGAGCATGTTGTCCTTTTTGCTTGTTTGCTTCCTTCACATCATTATCATGTGCACTAAAAGAAATTGAGAAGACAGAACATATGAAAATAGATATTAGAATAATTTAAACTCTTTTGGGTTAACTTTTAAGAGCACTCTAAAAAATGGTGCAGTCACCTGAAAGCTTCCAACGCTTTCAAAAAAAGGAAACCGAAAATAATGTTAAACCTATCCTTTAAAATCACCTAAAGTTTATTTCTTTAGGATATAGTTTTCTTTTCAGTATTTCACTTCATTGCATAGCAATACAAAATGCAGATAAAAGCCATGTACAATACAAATAACATAGCAGTATCTAAAATCGTCAGTGAAGTCTGCTAGTGTACTGCAATACAGTGCCAGATTACCAGAACTTGGAATTAAAACTTAGTTGCTGCCTCTCTCTCATTTAAATTGGGTAACAGAGTATAAGGTTTTTAAGACATGCTATCAGAGTGTTTCTTAAAGATCTATGTTACCATACTTAAAGATGATACGTATATTGATATTGGATCCTGTTCTTGATAGTGGAAATGTATTTTTTTTTCCTTGCTCTCTCCTTTTTTTCTAGCCCACCCAGTACTTAAGTTAAACAGTTTAGCTCACCTGAATTCCCTTTGATTTACACCTCTGAAAGGTATTTAGACACACTCTTTTTCTTGCTCTTGTGGTGAGGTTAAGCAGGTGCTACCTACACACTTCAGTCGGGCCTAAAATAATCTAAGTTCCTTGGTACTCCCTATAGAGGGCAGATCTCTTGAAGTTGGAGTTCAACCCCTCACCAGTTTTTCCTAAAATATTGCTAACTTGTTGTAGTGCACTGCAAAGATGACTGAAAGGCTTCACCTCTCCCTGCAAAGCATTCAGAGCAATACTGAAAACAGTTCTCCTCAACAGCACTTGTATGTGTTAGGTACTACTCCTTTCATTACACACATTAGCGAAGTCAAAGGAGGTCACCAGGTGTGATAATGTCACTCTTATAAGGAAGATGTGATTCTTCCAAATACAGCTGCTCTGGCACTTCTAAGGACCATAACTGTGTTTAGATCTGGGCAACAGCAAACTTCTGTAGGAGGAAAGCCATTATGGTGGGCACAGGTTTTGATCATAAGGTTTAGAAGAAAAGAACTGACTGTGTAACATCCATTCCTAGTAAGGTTTCATTAGCATTTTTATCTTATGCCAGCTGTATCTCTCCACTGTAGTGCAAAAATGGGTACAGCAAAAATACAAAAAATACAACCTCCTGGCCCTTTTCTCCCCACAAAGTTGGCCACTCAAACAGTCTGCATGTTCAATCCATTATCTGCTGGCACATCCATTGAACTTCCAAGGCATAGTGTCTTCTGAGTAAGTAGGAGCTCCTATGCCTTCAGTACTCTTCACTATCTCTGCTCTCTCACAGACTGGAGATTGGGAACAAGCTATTTAACGGATTCTTAAAGCATGCCAGAAGATGTTCAATGGAAATGCAAGGCTGAAGTTTGTTTGTTAAAAGAACAGGAAAGAGGTTAGATCTGATAAGGTTTTCTTTTTTGGAAAGAACAAATCGCTTATTACCTAACAGTACTACCTAATACCTAAGTATTTTTAGAATAGAAAACCTGAAATTCAAAAAGAAATTTCCTTTCAGTACTAACAGCAATTAAGTATACCAACAGATGCAGAAATGGGCTTTAGAAAAGCTGCTGTTGTTAACTTACATTAACAGTCGCTCTATACATGGCACGAGGAAATCCCAGGAGTATGCAGTAAGATGATGCAGTCGGGTAGGCCATGTCGGTGAGAGACGCAAGATAATCCTTGAAGAAGCTACACATGCAGTAGCAACTAAAGAAGGGGCATAGTTTAAAAATGCATGATCTAGAAAAAAGGAGTAAGAAAAAGATTCATTTGAGTTGGACATTGTCTGTCAAGACAACAAAGGAGCCATTACCTGAAATACATAACTCACCTTGCAGCGATACTTCCAGAAAGTAATCAGCATATTTTGCCATATATAACTTAGTCTTCTCTAAGCAAACCATTGGCCAGCCATCATGAAGATCAGTCTCATGGACAGCAATAGAAAGATAATAGTCGATGAAATGAGCAGCAGTTGGGAGGCACAAATTCCACTGAAATGTTTCTAGCAACAACAACTCCATATGAAGCAAATTCTGTTTTGTTAGTACCAAATTCATGTTAGTCATACAACCCAAGCTGTTCAACTGTTCAAGTTTGGGAACACTGTCTTCCTTTTCTTCAAATTTACCTTCAGGTGAACAGAAAAAAAGACAGGTTCAGCACAAGTGAACTATAAACCAGATTATATCTAACGTCTGCGTTGGTCATATTTCAATTCTACTACGTCAAACAAGTGTGAGACTTTCCAGCAGATGCAAAGCTCAAATGGAAGATGTCACCAGAGACAGAAAGGGGTATGTACTATAAAGGGCTAAATTTCATCAGATAATGTCCAACACCATGTTAGGATATTGTGCAGTGCCCTGTTTCCTACTGGTTTTCACACCCTGGCACACAGAAGCTGGTTACTAATGTCAGAAGTATGCTGATTAGGACATCACTGGCACTGCATACTACAAGTTTTTGTCACCAAATTGTTGTATAATGTGTCACCATCAATGAAATACCACTGTGATGTATTTTGGCATACACAACACCACAGCACTTGGCTTTAATCACCCTAACGCCCCCACATGTGCTTTTTGTTTCTAGAACTCTAATGACTATAGTTAGAGCTCTAGCAAATGTGGTTGCTTTTAATACCTGTTATGGTGGGTATGGTTTAAGATTTGATAGCTGGTAAGCTGCTCCAGCAGTTCAAACAAGTGGATTTCAGCCATGTGCATGGGAAAACCCACATACATACTGTTTCAACTTGAACACTGCTAGTAGCTTCAGCTTTCCTTGGACTTTAACTTGCCAGGACTGTATGTTTTTAGCCTGAAGCAAAATTGTGTAAGTAGAAACCCCATTAATAAGAGAAACAAATGTCACATTTCCATACAGTTTGCCACATGGTTCTGCTATTTCAATTTCATTGCAAATTTTTTCCATCTTATACTCTCTCTTCAGTACTACACAATATGTTGTAAATGCACATTTTTAGAGAGTTTTGCAGGACTGAACATTTGCTTTTTTTCCTAGTAGTGGAGCTACTGATACAGGACTTAATCCAACACCAGTCCCAGTCTGTTATTGTTTCCCATACTCTAGTAATTACTGAAATAAAAGCTTCAGGAGTCACATAGTAATTTCTCTTATTACTTCTATAACCTTATCAGATATATCACAGTGTGATTTGTCCAACTTATTGCACTGCTGATTAAACTGCTTGCTTAAGCCACACAGGGCAAAAGTTTAGAACAGCATTCTGGTTTGTGCTTTCTGAACCAATTCATACACTGCTTCTCAGAAGAGTGAGTACCACAGCCTTTCAGAGCTCTACTTGCAGCTTGCCGTGAAAGATGGCAGAAGTGATTTAAAAAAAAAAAAAAATCTCTTCAGAATATGAATCTCCTTTGAAAATTTGGCATTAGTTCAAAGCCAATCCATTTTTCTGAGGCAAGGTTTTTATACGCAGCACCTCATCCTTTGCCAAACAAGATTGTTGGCTGCTGGCATCCAAAGTTTACCCCTAGAAGAATCTGAAATTGCCCTTTTGTTTAACTTTTCTGCTGAACAGCTGTATTGGTGGAGATGGGATGCAACGAAAGGAAGCTGTATACCAAAAATAGCCAACTCCTCAGCACTCTTGTTTTCTAGCGAAGAGGGCCTAGAGGTACAATGTGATATATCTGAGAAAGTTAAAATAGATTCAGAAAAACAGCTCAGCAGAAACTGAACCAACAGTTAGTTCTGCTCTGAGAACCTGTTTCTCTGAATCTGTTGGTTTAGGAACAGGTATCAGCAGGCATCCCAGCAAACTACACCCATATTTCTTTGGGGACATCTAAAAGGGGTCCACAAATGTCAAAAGATGGGTAGACACCACAAGAATCTAGCCAAGGTCAATATATGCAGCACTGCTCATAAAGAACGTTTGTAATTAATTCTGTCTTCAGGGTACTGTGCATTCATCAATGTATTTCATCAAGCGTCACATACACTTTGCATGTGACAATACAGGATTCACATTAGGCTTAGCTTGCTTAAAGTACATTGCAATTCATGAAATCTGAAGCATTCCAGCGCCATCAGCAGAGCGCAGTGCAGTCTACAGATAGTTTATTTAATTTCTTCCTTTATCACAGATATACAAATTCTTCATTTCCAGCACTGGATCTACCTATTTTGAGATGTCCTCAGAAAGAGTCTTTCTATTCCTACAATAAAGCTCTGAAAGTTCACCTTGGAATAATTTGTTTCCCAGCATAAACATTAGTTTGTAACCAAAGTTTTTCTTCCCTCAGTTTCATCAGGCACCAACAGAAGTCAAAACAAGAGTCTGAAGAAAGGCTCTACCAATTGAGCCAAATTGATATACACTGATCTGCCTGTCTCTTATAACCACTTTGTTTCCACTATCTGCTATATCCCATTAAGACATGCCTTGTATTTGGCAGTAGAACCTATATTGCTCTAGTTAAGTCTGGTGCTACATACTTACTTGCTAAAAGTAAACAGGAAAGAGCAACCACATGCAGCTGCTGTATAGATATGTCATAACGATCCATAAAGAGGTCCAACAGATACACAGCTAGATGTCGTGCAGCAGGACAGAGTCTGAACCGATTGCTCACAATGGCAATCAGATCTGCAAAGTATCTTCTCAGATGTAACTGGGGAGACTGGCCTTTGTAGGAGGGCAGCTTCAGCTCCTAGATGGACAGCAGCATGTAATTTTATTAAAATCATCATTTAATTTGAATTGGTATCAGATTAATATAGCTGATATTCTCAAATTTATCATGGAATTTTCAAATTATTTCTCCCCTATTCCTTCTGATCCCATTGTTTCAGCATCCCTTTTCACAGAATAAAGTCTATTTATTGTATTACAGAAAAACTGAGAAATAATTTGGTTCTGCACACCATTAGTATAGTCATTTAAAATTTAACATCTTTCAATTGTGCAATTGGCTAGAGTGACTTTAGCTTTCACCCTTTCTGTTGTACAACCTGTACTGCAACGGCTGTACCTCCCAGCAAGGAAAAAGGAAGGGTATGAGAGTGCTCCTCAGCTGCTTCAATGCAAAGTTCAACAGCTTAACCCCCTCCTGCTACAACTCAGCAATCAGACTTTGTACTGAAGTGTTTGCACGTTCCAATGCTGCCAGATGTCCTGCAGGCACCTCCAGAAGAAAGGCACTAACAGCCAGCTGAAGGTAGCACCACCAGGAAGAGGAATGGGGCACGCACGTGTTGCTGCATACATCTCCTTGGACCCTGACTTAACCTGATTCAATTGACATTGCACTGACACTGCTTACCATGTGCTCTCAGGCATTTTAGTTAAGCGTACATAAACCTCACAGTGCCTCAGATCTGAGGGGGACAGACCCTACAACACAAAAGCCCTGCCAACGCCACAGATGAGAAAGATCTGTGGCATGATCTACTTCGAATACAAAATTTGGACTGGTAGAAGGTTCCTGCCTAGTAGCGACTCTTGCATCCAGCAGAGCAGCAGTGTTATCTTCTGTTATCATCAATACATTCCTGAGTTAGATTGTGCAGCCTACTTAGTGTAAGATTTTGAGCACAATAAAATTTCCAGCAGGAACAGTCTGATGACTGTCGGGATGGAGTCACCTAAAGTTTTAAAAGTTTTAAGGTCAATTCAAAGTTCTGAAACATGCCATTGAAGTGGAAAAAAAAAAACAACAAAAAAACCCCCAAAATGAACCAACACATACTCCCCACCACCTACTAAGCTTTAGGATTCACCTTTCACAACACTAAATTAGCTTTAGCAATGGTAACTTTGGTAGCAATTATATTATCCTCTTTGGCAGAAAATAAGTTATCCTGTCCTCCTGTGTTCCCCTCACTCCTGAAAAATAAACAACCAAACAAACCAGAAGTTGCTTTAGCAGTCACACCTTCAAGAATGATAATGCACTCATCGAGTACTGTCAGGTAGAAAAGCACATTTTTAGTAGGTTCAGTCACTGTAAACTGATTTTTAGCTTTGGGCATAAGATGTGCTTTATTATTAAAGTAGCTC